TATATATTCTATATATATATATATATATATATATATATATATATATATATCTTTATTAGCTGTTCCACACGAATGTACAGGTTTGTAGAGGTGGCTGTCAAAATGGAGTCGGACAGTGCTTCTCAAACTATTTGATGTGGTATACCAGCAGTTTTTTTTAATGTGCGAGGGGCCAAGAAGCGAAGCTTGCCAATCCATCTGTGGGTTCAGGGTTCATCCGCTGTGTCCTCCTTGTTAGATATATAGTTAGATTATGAATCTAAGGGTATTAAATGCTAATTTTAAAAATTTTGGCCCAAATCCATGTGGCTATCCCTTTTTCCTACATTAAGGCAAATTTTTAAAGGCTAAATTAGAAATATGCGTACATGAAAATATCCTTTTTGGTATTTCTAGTTGTGGTTTCGACACAGTCAAACACCACTTAATCAGTATTTCATTTCACCGTTTTGCTGTTCATTATATCGCATTTGTTAGTTGTATAGAAATGACTTTTAACAAGAGTGAGTCATTGAAATATGTCACCATAATAAATATAAAACTAAATTTGAAATATAAAAAAAAAAAAAAAACTAAGTCTGATATCCTGGCAGTCTCCCATGGCATGGAATGTGACTACTGTATCTTTGTTTCCTGGAAACTCTCAGCGTACCGGCAGACGATGGCTCATGTACCGGTACCGATGCACATAGCATACTCTGAGTAGGACTGGAGTAGGATACACAAAAGCTCTCTCATAATTTAAATGGACAGGAAACACATGGCCATTTGTTTGATGTTTTTGCAAGAAATCATATTTAAAAAAAAAATATGAGTTGTTAAAACTTTGTTCCCTTTAAATCTAACCACAAGTCAGAAACAATTTCTAAAGGTGATAAATGATTTACATACTTCTTCCTCTCAAACATGAAATATGTCAGTAAAAATTTCAGGCAAAAACTTTGTGCATCTCATATGTTTATTTAGGTGGGTGTTAAGATGAGGATAACAATAATGTACTTCTTCCAAGGATTTTGGAACTCTTCTTTTTTTTTTTCCTTTTCTTCATTTGAATGGATCATCTAGAGATTCAGAGATTAAAATTTGCTGTCTTCGTTTTGCTTGGAACACATTTTCCTTGTATCTTCATAGTTTTTGTTGTTAAAAGGGAAATTAATTTAAATTAATTCTCAGGCAAATCTGAAATTTTTCTTTAGAGATAAATTTTGAAGTCCTAAACAGGGATAAAAAACATTCTCAACATAAGCATCTAGATTTCAACAAGATCACACAAAGCATATTTGTTTTATTCCTCACCATCTCAGATTTCAGCAAACATTAAGAATATTGCCATATTTTTTAGTATATAAAACATGCCTTTGTATAAGATATACACTCATTTTTAGAAATAAAACAAACCCTGGGAGATGACTGCTAACTTCTAGACACTTTCTTATACAGGATGCAAGATACTTTGTAGTTTTATAAACTTTGATATGTAAAATACAGAAAATATTTTTTTAATCATTTCATCCCAAGCAAGCCAACAAAGTCACCAAGATTCAGGTGGTTACTGAGTGTGGAAAAATATAAGAAAAAGCAAGCATTATTAAGGAGCAAGAACAATAAAAAAAAACATAAATTAAGAAGACAGAAGATAACCATTGACATTGCATTTAATTTTTTAAAATTTTAAACTTAATTGAAAAGCAAGAAACTGAAAGATAGTTCCACCAGTGAGAAGTGAGAGGAAAGAAAATGTTAGCATAGAACTTATGGTTACGTCTAGCTATTTCAATTATAAAATGATCCCAATCTCATACTGCACTTAAATTCATAGAGTCTAGGTACCAAAGAGAAAAGTTCACCAGAACAATTACCATAAAAGTATTTATAGAAAAGGCACAGAGAAGCTATGTTATGGTGGTGGGAAAGTGACTGAAGCCAATCTGCTAGGTCAAAACCAATGACATTGCAGATTTCTTCTTTGGATTTTAGCAAGGATTTCTAAATATATTGCAGGAACACTGGTCCATATGTAGCATCAATATTCTAAGCATCAATAGTAGATTTATAAATATGTTACATATATTCAAGCAAGAAAAATTGTCTAGCACAATACAGTGAACCAATTTTCCTAGCAGCAGACATTGCAACTGATTCAATATACTTTTTCCACTTTATGTCAATGAAAAACACTAGTCCAAGAAGGCACAATGAGTCACTCTCCTGGAGATTAGCATTAGCCATGTTGATGGAAGGCAGATTAATAGAGAGTTGTTTATTTTGAGGCATTAAAATTAACATGCCATTTCTTGCTCCAGTTAACAACAGAAGTGTCAGGTCAATCATTATCTATCCTTATAATCTTCACTTCCTACTTCTTCCTTTTACAGTCATATGCACCATTCATTAATCTTCTACCTTGAGTGGTTTGGAGGCATGTATTGGATGAACTGTAGCCAAAAAAAAAGATCTTGAGCAAGCCTTTTGGTTGAATGACAAGATTCTTCAAATAATAAACAACATTCCTATTATATCTACCTTAGCTAAACAGTAAATGAACTTGGAACTTCACTTCTCTGGGACAAAAGAGAAGCAGCTGTTCATTTGTGTTTCATTAGTGTTCCTCAGAAGAAATCATCTGACATAACTTTGTGTAGATCAGTGAAAATAATTTACAAGATCAGGTCAAAGAAAAGATTTTGTATTGCATCAAAGACTTCCAAGCCAGTCCACTGGTTGCCTGATAAGGTCGCTTTTTCTTTTTTCACTTAAAAAGAAAAATTGAGTGACCAATAATTTCTGCATGTTTGCCCTTGTGTGTTTTATGAAATCTACTGAAAAATTGTACTTTTATTTTATTTTTTTGCTTGGCATTTACACTTGGATAAAGTCTGTTTCAAGCTAAATAAGTTTTTGCTCAGTTTAAATATGAGAGACATTAGTTTTAGTGCAATTAATTCCTTCAGGAAGTTCTCCTCTGTAACGTTCCTCATGAACGGCAACTAGGATCACTGCCTGTCTTAAATTGCACACATTTTGCGTCCTCTGTCCTCACATCAGTCTAAATAGTAACTTCTTTTCTTTTACTTTTTTCTTTTCTCTCTAAATTTCTATTTACCCTATTCATGTGAGTGCATATATATATATATATATATATATATATATATATATATATATATATATATAATACTTTATTTATATTGTATAAGGGAATGCATAAAAGTCCTTGGCTAAATGAAGAACAGATTCTTCCTACAAAATGGTCATTTGGTTTTATTTTTTAGGAAGTGGATTAGGCCAAGAATTCTGCAACTCTCTCTTGTGACTGTGGATATATATGTGTGTGTGTGTCTGTATGAATGAGAGATAGCTTATTTATTTATTTATTTGTGTATATGCATAAGAAAGAAATGATTTATTCATCTCAATTTATCCATGTGTAATTTTGTATGTATATATATTTATGTGTGTGAGTGTATATATATATATATATATATAAAATGTACACTGAGATCACCATTCATACTTGAATGCAATCTTCAGGCCATGTGTGTTATGTTTTGGTTTGACTATATGCTGGTCAATAGTGCATTATGAGGAGTAAGGTCTAGTGCATTATCTTGGGTAGGTGGTGATGGATATGTTTCAAATTATTCTATACACTATTGAGTAGGAATAATTGTGGATCCCAATGCAGTTATTTGTAGCAATATTTACATATGCTTTATTTCTGATATTGAGCACTTTTACCCATGAATATAGCATACCTTAAAACTATATTTTTATTTATATATATATATATATATATATATATATATATATATATATATATATATATATATATGAGGGGGACTACTTCAGTTAAGTTGTCTGCTCATAAAAAAAAACGTGGAAAAACTTTTCTTTTTAACAATTTCTACAGATTAGCATTCATTGTATCTTCTACCTTTGATATGTGTCAGAATAACAAAATATTGACTTTTTACCATTTCAGAAGTGGATCCTGTTCATAATATAGATACAGTGTAAAAGTATGAAGAAAAATAAGTAACCCCTAACTTCTTAAAGAGTTATCTGTACTTTGTTTTTTTTACAAATGTCAAGCTTGAAACAGTACTTATTGTCATTATACATACTACAAAAATTGGTAAAAAGAACAACATCACAGTTATCAATGACAAAAACATTTTCAAATTGGACATTTGCGAATATAAACAAAGTACAGATAACTCTTCAAGAAGTCAGGGATTGATTTCACACTGTATTTATATTATGAACAGGACCCCTGCTTTCTAAAATGACAAAAAATCATTATTTTTCAATTCTTATAAATGTTGTGGATAGAGACAGGTCTAATGAATGCTAATGAACAAAAAAATTATTCCGTCCAAAATTCTTCTTCTTCTATGCTTATTTTTTTTACAAGCAAACAGTTAATTCAACTAAAGCCATATATATATATATATATATATATATATATATATATATATATATATATATATATATATATATATATATATATTTTCCCAATTCCTGGTTAGAAATATACAAGAATATATGTCTTACAATATGCATTTTTTTTTTCCATTTAGAAGTAAACACTTTTTGTTGTTCAAAAGACCCCAGGTAAATAGAAGTCAAAACATTGTTATAAAAAAAAATAACTGCAACAACAAAGATGAGGAAACTGGCCCAAAATAATCAACACATTATACTGTTCAGAACAAGATTTTTGCAAAATCTTGAAATCTTATAAACTTAAACACTTACTTATATTTACTTATATACTCATTGATTAATATATAATGTTCTATAAATCTGCATCTCTTAAAATAAAAATAACTTGATTATTTAGAAAAATGTATTTTTTTATAACTTTTACATTTGTCCGTCAGTATCACAAAACATTACCATAAATATTCTTTATCTTACTAAACAGTTATTTTCACTGATAAATTATAAAAATGCCTCAAGTATACAAAATTAACTTTTATTATATTTTGTTTTGTTGTCAGGCTGAAGAAAAACAAAACCAAGAG